GGGGAAAGGGGGAGGGAGGGCGGGGAAGCAGCTGCCGGCTTTCAGTGGTCTTTGAATGATGTTACCTGATAGACCGTGAGCTAAAGACGTAGAAGGGAGACAAAACTGAAGTGAGAGCTCAAAACACACAACAGAGAGATCATCTTCCTGGAGATGGCAGCAGAAATTGTAACAGCAGGGTGGGTCACCTGGCCGAAAGGTAACGGGGACAGGAAAGCTGACAGTGATAGAAAGGGTATGCAAGAATTGCCTTTTTTCACTCTTTGTACAGAGGGTAATATAGTGGAAAGTGGAATTCTTTATGGTACAGGTGATTTGTAATAAAATTAAGAGACAAGACCTTGAAGTCAAAAGGTGGTAGCTTGCTGTTGAAATGGATGGATAACTGGTAGCAGGGTTGGATGAGGTGGAAAAAATGAGGTCAGAAATAAATTACTGGAAGTCATGGTAGTAGAAGAGATTCTTCAAAGATGGGGGAGAGACAAAAGTATATTGCAGATAACCAGAAGGTGATGGAAGGGCATCTGAAAGCCAGTAGAAAGCCAGTAACTGTAGACAGAGCCCCGGGAAGGTAACACAAAGTTTACAGGCATGTGTAAAAGTTGCAGGCATGGTAGTTACTGGAGGTGCCTGCTTATTAGGGTCTAGATCTGCTGCAGTAGCTCCATCAGAGACAATAGGCCCAACATTGGTGCAGAGACTGAAGAAGACATGCTTGAACACAGACTGAAATTTTGTGGTAAAATATTTTGGGAAAGGGGAATAGGAAACCTAGATCAAAGTCATGAATCAGTGAGAGAAAGTAATCTGGCCAAGAGATGCAGAAGAGGTTTTCTGCACAGTTGACCTGAGCTACCAAAAGATATTGGAGACAGAGCAGGGGATTGATAGAAATCAAAGGAGATAGGAAGGAACAAGAGAACTGCAGGAACAAGAGTGTGAAGTGAATAGACTAGGAGTTTTATCCTAGACCAGAAGGACATCACAAAGGTAGTAAGTAATAGGACCAAAAATACTAATAGGATCAAAGGGCTAAAAACCATTGGGGCTGGAGTTGGAGGCAGCAAGAGTAGATTCATCTTTCACAGTAGGCGTTGGGCTGCTGAAATGTGGGGGTGAAGAGGTTGCCAGATGTGAATCAGGTACTGGGAGGGGGAATGGAAGAGGGGGGTAGGCGATGGAATGGTGGGTGAGGAAGAACCAGGTTTTATCTGCTTGAAGGTAACCACTGAGAAACTAGCAGAGGGAGGAGGTGGTGCCAAAATTGAGTGGAGGTCTTTGAGAGTTAGGAGGTGGTGGGAAGGGAATAAGACAGCCATAGGTAGCTGTAAGTTAAAGGTAGAGCAGGATTTGGGGAGGGAAAGCAAGCTCCTTCTTGTTCTTCCTCCCCCTTTGAAAATCCTAACTCATTAAGTGGAAGAAAGGAGGGAGTTTTTGTAAAAATAAATAAATAAATCGGGCATCCTGCAAAGTAACCTACTTTGGGTTTGAAGTGATCATTTATCTGCGTGGCTAGGAGGAGCCACTGGCATTGCAGCAATTTAGCTGTGCTCAGAAAGGGATGGAAAAAAAATCCTGAGGTCTGCATAGACAAGAAGGAGTTAATGCTTGTCGAGCATTATTCTTATACAAATTAAGTCCAGAGCACAGCAGCAGCCTCACCAGCAGGAGCAGATGCTAGGCAGTGATGCAACCTGTGTTATTTACTTAGGCCTCTGTAGTGACCTCAGTGGCTTGCAGACAAAGGATACACATATCTGGAGGTAGGTAGCATGCTGATACCCTCTTTATTCGGTCCTTTTTCTTTTATTGCAAACAAGCTCCTGTAATCATCTCGCGTGGAGCAACAGGGGAACTGTGTATTCTTAGCGTGGTTTCATAAGGAGGAAAAAAAAAAAAAACCAACCTGAAGGAACTGATTGGTTTCTCAGATTTGGGTTTTGTACCAATATAACCAGGAACGTTTAGAAGCCATGATGCGTCGGTCCCTTGAACGAAGCCAGCAGCTGGAACAGAAGCAGAAGCGATGGTCGTGGGGAGGAGCACTGGCTGCAGGCTCAGGAGGGAGAGATGGTAAGTGAAACAGGCTGCCTGCATTGCAGATCTCGAAGTGCAAAATGCATGAGGTTGTGGAGATGGTAAGGATGATGCATTTTATAGTTAGGGTGGTACTGTAGGGGCTACTGCCTTGGGGCGTGAATAAATGCTTTGTAATTGCTTGCCAGGCTTCCTGTATCTAATACCTTCTGGGGAGAAAGGTCTCTCCTAACTTTAGGAATGCAGATTGTTTTAATAGAGTAACCGGAATCTGTTTGGAGGATTCTAAATGCTAAAATTAAAATCTATGCTCTCTCCCTTATTCTCTTCCCCCGCATTGTCTTCCCACGCACACAGTTAGCAAATTTAATATTCACCAAAGGACTGAGTGCTGTCTAAGCCTTGCAAAAGATGATCTGTTTTTCTTTGGTACTTCTAAAAACCTGACGGGAATTTCTAGATGACTATGCAGCATGTGCAGTTTAAAATAGTTTGGGTTTTTTCCCCACATACTTTTTGTTGCTTTTTTTTTGATTTGGCTTCAGAACAAATTCTTTTTATTACATAATCAGTCATGTACTGCTTTTATATTTTAAAAAGATGCATGTTTTCTGTTTTAAATCATATAATTTATTTAAATTTGTCAGGTTTGAATAAACTTGTTATGGGGAAAAATAGCCATGTTTGGGTGATGATGAGATATGACAGTTACTCTTTTTTAAAAAGTGTGTAAATATACTTAACTCTAAAAAGGCAAACACTGTTTCACATCATAGTTTTCACAGTATGCCATCAGAAAAGCCAGAAAATTATATATATGATAATAAAAGAAGACTTCTATACTTGGAGAAAGAAACCAGTTTGTCTTTGTGATGCAGTTTATGCTTAATTCCACCTCCCCCAACTTATTCAGTAATTTCTTTCACCTCTTTTTGCTCTGATTTCTCTGCTGTGTAGGTGAATCAGAAAATACCCCACCCCCTGTTCTAGGTTTAGCTGCCAACACCCTTCCTCCAGACCCTGTGACCTCTACTGCTCCTGCTGATTCCTTCAATGGTATTTCAGAGAATCACAGTACCATCGTGTCTCGTTTATAAACTGTTCTAATCACCGTAATCCATCCACTGATCTTGTCCTTCCTAACCACTATTTTCTTATTATTTCAGTCTGGTACTCTACAGCATTGCCTTTAGTGATGTGGACCAAATGTCTTTTTAATTTCCTTTTAATTTTGCCATGGTGGAGCAGTGCATGCCTCGCATTCCAGCACAGTAGAGGCATTTCATGGTTTCCTCACTAACTGTAGACTTCTACCGCTCAGATTCTCATCTCTGTTAATTCTGTGGGCAGTCTGTGTTTGTGTGTGTGTGTAAATATAATTATGCATATATTTGACAGTTCTAATGGACATGCCCAGGTGCAGGTGGTGTTTAAAAAAAATAAAATTCAGTTGCACAGTAAGAGAAAATGTGTTATGGAGATGGTGTTTCATCAAAATAGTCCTCTTTTTCCATCTTGAGGGCCTTTTTCTGCAGTATTTCAAGAACAGGCAAATTTGGCATAAACAGCCATGCTCTGTTTTCAGCCTCCTGAAGTGGATTTTGGCCAAGCTGCTATTTGTAACAAACAAAGTAGATGATTTCGTTTAGGCAGTCGTATTTTGTTTTCTTTTATATTGTTCAGTTACCTTTTTTTTAAATTATTATTCCCATAAAAGGACTGTGAAGTAGATGAGTCCTCCCAAATTAAGAATGGATTGCATATAGGATTTCTAATTTTGATTGCAAATGTACTTGGCATTTTGAAAACTTAACACACCCTCTGCTTTTAAGAACTAGGTTCCTTCTCTCCCCACAAAGGAGGAGCTAGTTTGGATATTACTCCTGCAGAATGCACAGTAAATGTTGTTCTGCCCATGGTCTCGCAGAGCTGTTACTTCTGTGCAAACAGATTCAAATTTTTCTACTAATCGTCACTCATGTACAAAGAGATTTGGATGTGCAACAGATGTTTTGCAGCATACCAGCATTATACCTGCTTTTTTAAAAAAGCAAACATAGAGACTTGGATTGGTTTACTGTAGTAGATGGAGGCAAATCTTGCAGACTGAGGCAATGTTTTGAGGGATGTAATAGGGGATGCAGTAACTTAGGGGCTGCAGAATTAGGGCCATGTATATGTCTCTACCTGAACATATTTTCGGTTTTGAAAGAAATAAAACTAAAATTTAAAGGACAAAGCATCTGTCCTTTTAGCTTCTGAGCATCATGCAGTGATCATCATATACTAGTACACTGTAATAATACTTGAATAACATTTTTTGTCATTCGGTTGAATAAATGGCAAGGTAGGAAATGGGTATTGTGCTCAAACAGACTTTGTCAAATAGTATTTTAGAAGAAAAATGAAAGCACTTGGGGTAGTACCAACAAAAAACCTTTTTTTTTTTTTTTTTTTTTTTTTTTTTTTTTAATATTCTCATGCACAAAGAGATAAAGCCAAATGGTTGGTGCCAGATCAGTCATTAAAACAGTTGAGTTCTCATCATGCAAATGCACAAATAATAGTTACTTCATTTTTGTATTAGACTAATACCTGAGGTCTGCCCCAGCTCTTCCAGACTGAAAGTAGAGGGGAGGAGGAATGTAGATGAGGAGTTCAGAGCTGTCATGTGTGCAGTTGATTTTCTTTAGGTAACTTTCTGCTTGTGCTGGTATTGAATATGTTCAATAGTATAGTGAATATAGTATAGATAGTGAATCGCTTCACTTGTTCATACCTATATATAATTATATATAATTATTTGCCTGTGGCAGTATAAAAGGTAGGCTGTCGTAAAACGGCAATGTTGAATTCACAAGCAGAAAAGTTGCATCCCAAAGCATATCTTATAAAATGCTGGTCCTCTAGGAGTTGGAAAGACTTTATCTCATGCCTTATTTAGTGATACGACCAGTGGCAAGGGCCAAGAGTACAAATGCGAGGTTAATTTGGGGAGTTTATCAGCACTCTGATGTGAATACAAATATCTTCAATGCGTCTCTCTGCAGCATGTGACAAACTTTCAGCTTCTACAATGAATCTGCCAAAGCAAATGGAATCGCCAATCAGTAAGCGCCTCTCCTCCTCCACAGCGGCAATAACACATTCCCCCGACAGAGGCAAGTGAATATGCTGGTCTCCTACCAGCATAAACTCTCCTTCTGCTTTAAAGCACTACTTCTTGTCCATATAGCTACGTAACTCGCTCACATCGATTACTCAAAAGCACTCGATCGTTTTGGGAGGGGGGAGTGTTGTAAGTTAATATAATAAAATAGTTCTGCAGCCTCTCCCAAGACTATGCTGCCATGCTGGAGATCCTAGGCCAGTGACAATGCTATGGGGGTTTTTTTACTGATTCTTTTTCAATTTTTGGTACTCCAGCAAATGGTGCTGTAAGCACATGCTGCGGCTGCAGTGATTTCCTATAACTGCACAGCTTGTGACATTCTAGCCATATAATGAAAAATAAGCAAGCCAAACGTGGCTCAACGATAGACATGGGGTGTACTGTGGGCAGAAGTACATCCAATGAGCCACCTGGGAGACCTCAATCTGGTGACCAGAGTTTGTAGAGCCCTTTAATTTGGTTTCAAACCCTGATCCATCAGAGGCTCAGCAAAAGATGATCATCTTGCGGGATTAGTGGTTACTAAACACTACAGAGAGGACTGAAGGGTTTACCCCACTGTGAACTCTTTGGAATTTTTTGTTTTGTTTTGTTTGTCTTCCCCC